GTTCTGCTGGACAGCATCAGCCACCACAACAGGAGGAAGAGGAATCAAAGCCAGAACCAGAGAGGTCTGGCCTCAGTTGGAGCAACCGTGAGAAGGCAAAGCAGGCCTTTAAGGAGCTGCTGAGGGACAAGGTGCGGGGGATGGTGCTCCCAGGGTAGCCCTGGAGGGGGCTGGAGGGGGCCAGACTCTGACACCCACCTGCTCCATTCCAGGCTGTCCCCTCTAATGCCTCATGGGAACAGGCCATGAAGATGGTGGTCACTGACCCCCGTTACAGGTAGGCCTGGGCAGAGGGAGCCAGGCCCTCCAAACCCTGATTATGAGAGCAGCTGGGTCAGGGACTCCCTGGGAAACCCCAGCTTGATACTTGGGCTCCAAGGGGCCAGAGTCAGGAGAATGGTAGATGGGTAAAGGCTCAGGGGAAAGAGAAGCTATAGAGGGCCTCCAGGAGGAGGGAAAGATATCTGACATGAGACATTCAATAAACGCTTGTTGAATTGAATTGATTTGAATTAATTGGGGAAAGGGGACAGGATACGGCAGATCCCTGACTGCAATTTGAGCACCCTAAAGCGTAAGGGCCGAGTATTATCAGTGTCCTGGAACCTGTCTCTTCCCCTCACTACTTCTCACCCCTCCCCATATCCCGGAGATCTTTCTTGCTTCCCTGTCCCCTGGAGCCCCTGCGGCCTGCTGTGCCCATGTGTGGATCCCTCACTCAGGTCTGTGGAGACCTACCCCCAGTGTGCCATGAACCACAGGGTGACTCAGGCTGACGACTCTATTCCCACCCCAGTGCCTTGCCCAAACTGAGTGAGAAAAAGCAGGCATTCAATGCCTACAAGGCTCAGCGGGAGAAGGAGGAGAAAGAAGAGGCCCGGTTAAGGGCCAAGGAGGCCAAGCAGACCTTGCAGCACTTCCTGGAGCAGCATGAACGCATGACCTCCACCACTCGCTACCGGTCAGGGGCCTGGGCTGGGGCGGGGCTGGGAAACCCTGAGAACACATGTGCCCAGGGTCTCTCTTCTCTGCCTGCTTACCCACAGCCCATGTGCTCCACAGGCGGGCAGAACAGACCTTTGGGGAGCTGGAGGTCTGGGCTGTGGTCCCTGAGAGGGATCGAAAAGAGGTTTATGATGATGTCCTCTTCTTCCTGGCCAAGAAGGAGAAGGTAATAGTCACAGGGCTAGATTCTTCAGCCCCAGCCTCATCTCAGACTCCATATCTTTTGTCCTTATGTGGTCATTAATTTCTCCGATGCCCTAGGGTGCCAGCTTCTTACTCTGAAGCTGGTGTAGCACTTGCACATCCCTTCCTTCATTTCTGCTCTGGGCCTACAACCTTGGGCATGGGAGGGCAGGAAGGACTCTCTGAAGGGTTGGTCTGTAACCTTCCCCTTTCTGAGGACATGAAAGCTTTGCGTCTGGCCCTCCTAGGGTTCCCTAGCTACCTTCCTTTCCCCCAAATCCTCTGCCCAGGCCCATTTAAGTACTTCTGGCCTGCCCTGCCTCCCCAGGAACAGGCCAAGCAGCTCCGGCGCCGCAATATCCAGGCCCTGAAGAGCATACTGGATGGGATGAGTAGTGTCAACTTCCAAACCACATGGTCCCAGGCCCAGCAGTACCTCATGGATAACCCCAGCTTTGCTCAGGACCATCAGCTTCAGAGTAAGCCCAGGTCTCCACTCCCACCTATCCCTTGCCCTTCTTTACTGACCTGGGTCCCCATATCCCCTCTCACACATCTCCCCTGTACCTCCTGCCCTCCTGGACATTCAGGAGTCCCCAGCACTCAGTCCCTGTACCTCTCTGGACTCTGGAGATCCCAGAATGCTCAGGTCACCCTCTCCCTCCGGGGTCCACTGTTGACCTGGAGATCTGTGTCCTTGGAGGAAGAGCTTGGAACGGGAATCAGAAGACCTGGAGATGAGGACTGTTAACAGCTGATGTCACTTGTCTTAAATTGTCAGGGTACTGTGGGCATTAACTGGTCACACATGTTACAATAAGCTGCTGTTGGCCTATAATCACTGGCAATATCAGAAATTCACCTTCTGAAGTTGCATCACAGCCTGATTGATCATGGTTCCATAAACTGAAACCTTAGATTCCCCAGTGAACTGATTTCATAAACATGATGACTTTGGTAACTAAATTTACAAAATTTACAGAATTCTTGCTGATTTTTTTTCATACAATTAATGATCCCTCCTCAAGAACAACCATTCCAGTACCCCCTCCCACAGAGCCCCCTCTTCACCTTGCCCCACCATCCTGGCTGTCCCCAGCACCTACAAGGGCAGATCCTCAAAGCAGTGGGGCTGTGGGGGACTGAGAGGGTGTCGCGCTGGTGCAGTCCCCACTGAGCATCCTCTCTGTGGTTAGACATGGACAAGGAAGATGCACTGATCTGCTTTGAGGAGCACATCCGAGCTTTGGAGAGGGAGGAGGAGGAGGAGCGGGAGAGGGCCCGGCTTCGGGAGCGGCGCCAGCAACGCAAGAACCGGGAGGCCTTCCAGGTATCTTTGCTGACCCCTGATCAAAGCTCAACTCTGCCCCAGACCATAGCCTCTTCACCTGTGCCCTACCTCCTGGGTCAGGCCCACTGTTTTGTCTGTGCCCAGCCCTGTCACACCTCCACAAGGCTTCTTTATGCTTGCAGGTCTCACATGCTATGTCCCCTCAACTTGGCCTTGCTCCTCTAGGGAGATGAGATGTAGGCACCACCCAGAAACTGTCAGCAGAGAGCACTCTAAAGGCACAGCTTGGCAGCTAGGCTGTTTATTTCCCTTTGGTGGGGAGCCAGGCAGCCATAGCTCATCTCCCAGGTTGGAGATGGCAGTGGTGGCGTTGGTAGTGGGGGTTACTTAGCTGTAACACAGGGAAGTTGAAACCAAGTCGTAGGAAAATTGTGCTGCAGGCAAGTTTCTGTTTCTTTGCCTCTCAGCCTGGCTCACTGTCATGTTTTAGTCTGGCCCTCTCTGTATTTACATTCTCTCTTTTCGTATTGCTCTCTGCCTCCCCATCTGTGTCTCTTCATCTCTGCCTCCCTGGCCTGCATTTCCTCAATCTGGATTGTTCCTGCCTCTCCTGCCATTTCCTCTCTTCCTCCCCAGTCTTTGGCTCCGCCTTCCTGCCTGTCTCACTCTCCCTATAACCGGCCTTTCCTTGCTCAGGCCTTCCTGGACGAGCTGCATGAGACAGGGCAGCTGCACTCTATGTCTACCTGGATGGAACTGTACCCAGCGGTCAGCACTGATATCCGCTTTGCCAACATGCTGGGCCAGCCGGGTAAGGCAGCCGGGCTCCCTTTCTCTGGCCTGGCTTCCTGCCCTGCCGGCCTCTCTGCACCCCTACTCCTGGGTCCTGTCCTTGACCCAACCCCCAGGCCTTGGGAAGCTGCCACCGCCAGGCCCCCCTCCCTCCCTCCTCCACAGGCTCCACCCCTCTGGACTTGTTCAAGTTCTATGTGGAGGAGTTGAAGGCACGTTTCCATGATGAGAAGAAGATCATTAAGGACATCCTTAAGGTGAGGGAGGCCTGGGGTTGTGGATAGATGCAGGCTGGGTACAGGGCACGTTCCCCAGATAGGACTCCCTGATAAGTCCTGTTTTGTAGGAGCATTACAGCTCAGTTCAGCAGATATCTACTGTGATCCTTTATGTGCACTGGGGACACAAATGAAAAGATACCATTTCTGCCCGTAAGAGCTCATGGCCCAATGAGAAGATAGACGTGACAACTGTTATACAGAGGGACAAGTGTTATTACAGAGACCAGAATCAGAATTGACATTTGAACTGCACCTTTAAGAACGAGTAGATGGAGGAGGGTGGAGGTCCCAGGCATAGGGAACTACGAGAGCAAAGGTGACGCAGGGACAGGGCATGGTGGGTTTTAGGAGCAAGAAGCATGTTAATCATAAAGCCCACAGATATGTTCTTTCTGGTCTGCAGTATTTTAGAAAAGTTTGGAATTTCTGCTAACATTTTAAGATCAAGAGATTGCACATCTTCAGCTTCTTTCAAAAATTTGGATTATCTAGTTTGGATTTGGTTTTGCCAGGCATTCAGTGGATTCCAGCTGAGATGCCACTGCCTCTCAGAAGTAGGGCCATGAGTGTAAATTCCTTGAATGGCATCCTTAGCCTCATCTCCCTGTCATGGCAGTGAGTTCAGCCATTTACCATCATCTTACACCAGAGAAATAGTTCTGAATATCCATGTCTCTCTAAGGTGGAAAATTGAGTGATGGACTAAGAGAGCCCTGTGTTTCTGATGAAGAAAACAGAGAAAGCATATACTTCTTTGTAGAAGTGAAGAACATTCTAATGCATTTAAGGAGGCAATAGGCATAGTTGTTAGGAGCATGTCTGGAGGCAGACTGCCTGGGGTAAAAGTCCAGCTTGACCACTTACTAGTTGTGTCACCGCTGGCAGATTATTTAACCTTTCTGAGCCTTAGCTTCCTCATCTGAAAAATGTAAGTTTTCCACCAAAGTAGACCTAATTACTGAGGGGAGTAACTTGGTACCTGAGGTGAGAAAGATCTGAGAATAAAGCTAGAAATGCCCTACTGTACACACATGTATTTTGCCTTACAAATTCATGCAGGTATTACATTTGAATACCATGTTGTCTCTCTGTTTAATGTAAACTTAATATTCTAAAATTACTGATCTTAAGTAAGACATATCATATTGTCCTGTGGCTTCCTCTGTTTCTCTGGAACCACATGTCCCAGTTTGGAAGTAGGGTCCTGTGTGTAAATTCCTTGAATGCTAAAATAAGAAATTTGGATTTTTATCTTGTAAGTACTGGGAGCCAAGGAATGATCTGATCAGGTGATGTCTTGGGAAAGCCCTGGTGAGAGTATAGAGCAGTACTTCTCAGACTGAGTATCCTTACGAATAGGATAGTTCCTGAAGTCTCAGGATACTAAAAGCGGTAATGGCAAGTAATACAAATAAATTTTGAGCATGAGTCATCTTCTTGTGACTCCCCCTGATACCACTGCCCTGCTCTTGGGGCCATGTGGTAGAAAAGTATGAGCAGCCCTGGATTCTCAAGGCTGGGTCAGAAGTATGGGAGGTTAGCAGGGAGATAAGTCAGAAGGCTACTACAGTGATCGAGGTGGGAACTGAGCCCAGGCAGGGCACTAGGGATGGCAGATGAGAGAGCTATAGTGTTCCAGCTGTGTCTGAGACTCTCTAGGTTTCCTCAGAGGTGCCTTGGGACAAGCATGGGGATGGGGGAAGGTTATGCTCCTTCCTCTGTTTACACGTACAGAAGCTTTTTTATACATCAAGTTTCTGCATAAAATTTTTATTGGAAAAATAAAATTTCTGCTGTTAAAAAAAGCGAAAGTTTAAAACAAGTAGGATAGTCACTCAGAAGTAAAACTGACAGATTTGGGGGGGGGGG